AAAAGAAGAATGAAATGTTATCATTCGCTGGTAAATGGATGGAATTGGAGAACATCATTCTGAGTGAGGTTAGCCTGGCCCAAAAGACCAAAAATCGTATGTTCTCCCTCATATGTGGACATTAGATCAAGGGCAAACACAACAAGGGGATTGGACTATGAGCACATGATAAAAGCGAGAGCACACAAGGGAGGGGTGAGGATAGGTAAGACACCTAAAAAACTAGCTAGCATTTGTTGCCCTCAACGCAGAGAAACTAAAGCAGATACTTTAAAGCAACTGAGGCCAATAGGAGAGGGGGACCAGAAACTAGAGAAAAGGTTAGATCAAGAAGAATTAACCTAGAAGGTAACACACATGCACAGGAAATCAATGTGAGTCAACTCCCTGTATAGCTATCCTTATCTCAACTAGCAAAAACCCTTGGTCCTTCCTATTATTGCTTATACTCTCTCTTAGCCAAAATTAGAGATAAGGGCAAAATAGTTTCTGCTGGGTATTGAGGGGGTGGGGGGGAGAGGGACGGGGCGGAGTGGGGGGGAGAGGGACGGGGCGGAGTGGGTGGTAAGGGAGGGGGTAGGGGCAGGGGGAGAAATGACCCAAGCCTTGTATGCACATATGAATAAAAAAAAAAGAATATCTGGTTTTGAGCTGGTGGAGTAGCTCAAGTGGTAGAGTACCTGTCTAGCAAGATGAGGTCCTGAGTTCAAACCCCAGTAGCACGCGCACACACACACACACACACACACACACAAAAGAATATCTGGTTTATCCTTCGCCCTTCGTGTTTCACATAAATCTTAGGTTCGGTTTGTTAATTTTCACAAAAATTTTACATTGACATTGTACATCAGTTTAAGATTAACTGACATCTTTTAAATATTGAGTCTTGCATTTCATAAACATGATGTACCGCTCCATTTATTTAGGCCTTTAATTTTTCTCAATAATATTTAAAAGTTTTTAATACAGGTATCTTTATATCTTTTGTTAGATTTATGCCTAGGTGTTTGACTACTTTTATTCTCATATAAACTCATCTTATGGTTATTAGTGATAAGGAGAAATACAGTTCACTTGTGATCTACTTACCTCAGATTCAACAATCCTGTTAAATTTACTTTTTAGTTCTAACAATTTAACTAAACTTTCTTTTTGAATTTTTTATATACACAGTAATTTAATCTCCCAGTCACTGCAGTTTTATTTATTCCCTGCTAATCCTAAGGCTTTTCTATCTCTTCTAACTTGCTAGGATCTGCTACCCAATGATAAACAGAAGTGGTGAGGGATGGCATATTTGTTGCTTGTCCTGCTCTCAAAGGAAAAGATTTAACATGTCACCCAGTAAGCATGATGCTGTCTATTTTTTTTAAACAACACAGAATATTTTTGTGGATACTCTTATAAAAGTAAAAACGTTTCTTTCTTACTGGTTTGCTAAGTTTTCTTTGTCAATAATAAGGAATAGATGTTGGATTCATCCATATGTTTTCTACATCTACTGAAGTGACCATGTAATTTTTTTTCTTCATTCCATTAATGTATTGAGTTACATAGACAGATTTTCAAATTTATTACTCTAACTTTGCATTTCTGGAAGATAGCTAACTTGATCATGACATGGTAACTTACTGCTGAATTCACATTGCTGGTACTTTATTTGGGATTTTTAAGTTTATATTCATGAGTGGAACTGTCCAGGAATTTTCCTTTCTTATAAAATTTTTGTCAGGTTTTAGTATCAAAATTCTGCTGGCTTCTTGAAATAAGCTGGGAGTATTCCTACTTTTTCTATTCTCTGGAAGACTTTGTGGAAAATATGTGCTATTTCTTCCTTAAATATTTGTTGAATTCAACAGTAGAACCCATCTGGGCCTGAAGTTTTCCTTATGAGAAAGTTTTAAAATTACATATTCATATGAGTAGAGATAGAGCTACTCAGACTCTTATTTTTCTTGTATCAATTTGGATAAGTACCATTTAAATTTTTTTTTGTCAATTTCTTCTAAACTTTCAGATCTATTGTCATAGACTATTCACGATGTTTCTTTACTATTTTTTCAATGTATTTATAACCTTTTTTCATTTTTTTCTGACAGAGTCTCACCAGCATTTATTGATTTTATTAGTCACTTAGCTCTGTTGTTTCCTGTTTCATTACTTTCTTATCTTTATTTCCTTCCTTCTACCTTTTAAAAAATTTAGTTGGTGTTTTTTTTTCAACTTACTGAAATTAATGTTGAGAATATCTGTTTTTAAGTCTTTTTCCTTTTTAACATATGCATTTGATGATACCAAGTATTCGTGTCTTTTTTGTTACTGGCTGCTAACTTACTATCACTGTGTTCAAAAAATGTTCTGTATGATTTCAGTCCTTTGAAGTGTAGTAAGAATTGCTTTATGAGCCAGAATATGAAGAACATTGGCAAATATTCTATGTACACTTGAGAAAATATGTATTTTACATTTGTTGAGTGTAAGGATTTATAATTAGATGATGTTTGCTAATTAACTTTGTTCAACCTGTCTATATCCTGGTTGTAACAATTACTGAGACAGGTGTCTTAAAATTTCTAACTAAATGGATGCCTCTAATTATCCTGATAGGTCTTACATCTAATGTGTGTGTTTAATAAGTGAATGGAATTTTTAAATTATGAATCATCTTTTCTTTACCTCTAACAGTGTTTCTTGCCTTAGAATCTATTTTATTATCCATAATGGTATATCTATACAGTGTTTCCTTTAGTTTGTTTTGAAGGTGTATGTTATTACATCCTTTTACATCAGGCTCTGTTGTATCTTTATAAGTAAGCATGTCTCTTTAAAGCAGTGAGTAGTAGGGTTTTAAGCATCCATTTGATAATCCTTTGACTTTTAATTGGAGTATTTATTTTATTTATATTTAGTATAATTACTGACATATTTGGGTATGAATTTATCACAAAATGAATCTATTACTATAAAAATAGATTATTAGAAATAAATCTATTTATTATAAAAATAATCTTATTTTTATTTGTCTCACCTATTCTACTCCTCCCCACCTTCTTTTGAATTATCTGAGTATTCCTTATTATTCTATTTTACCCCTCTTTCAACTTATTATTTACACATTCTTTCATCATTCTTTTAAAAAGCAGCTAAAGTTCAAAACATGCATCCCGAACTTACTAATGTCTAACACAAATCTGTTCTTTATCACTTCCTATACAAGGAACCTATAACATTTTAACTTCATTAACCTCTTCAGACTTACATTCTTCCTTTATTGTACATTTTGTCCTATGGTGTATTTTAAACTCCACAGGGCATAATTATCCTTCCATGTAGTCAATGTTTACTTACATCTAACTATCTAATTGTTATTTTTATTATACTTCTTTCCTTTCTGCATCTCTGAGCTTTGAACTGGAATAATTTTCCATCTATTCAATAGACACCCTATAGGATTTCCTTTAATACAAATCAGCTCATGACAAATTTTAAACTTCTGATTTTTCATTGTTGAGGACTCTTTTTGGTAGATAGAGAATAAATGGCAAATTCATTAGCAATCCACTTCCTTCTGATTTCTATTGTTTCTATTGAACAGCTCATTCTCACTCTTGTTGCTTAAGGACAAAGGAGTGTCCACAACTCTTACTCCAAGTGCTTTGCAGCTCTTCTCTGTGTTTGTTGTTTGTTTTTTAAGGAAATTTTACTATGTGGAAATATTTCTGTATTTACACTGCTTGGTGTCCTAGGACTTCTCAGTTCTGTGGTTTTTGTGTCATTTGTTAGTTTTGGAACATTCTCTGACACTTTTTCCAGTTACTTCTTCCGTCTCATTTTCTCTCTCAACTTTCACGGAACATCCAAGTGCATTTATGTTGGGCATTTCTAACAATTCACACAACTTCACACTCTACCATTTTCATCCCTTTGCCTCTTCATGCTTTATCATTATCATTATTATTATCATTAATCATTACCATTTTGGTGCTGGGGATTAAATCCAGGGCTTCATTGAGCTTCACCACTAGCCCCATGCTTTATAACTGGTATTTTTTCCTGTTCTATCCTCTAGTCCACTAACTCTCTCTTCAATATCATCTCTTATATTGAACTCATCTATTACATATAGCCACTACATATCATTAAATTCACCCATTGTATATATACATTCAGTGATTTTAGTCATTAATTCAATCGTGCAACCATAACCATCACCAAATCCAATCTTAGGGCATTTACATCATCCCCAAAAAAGTTCATAAAGTTGACCAGTACAGTAAGTGTATTTTTCAGTTCTAGAGGTTCATTTGGTTCCTATTATAATTTTCAGTTCTCTGCTTTTCTTTTCTTTTCCTTTTTTTGGCAACATCGGGGTTCACATTTGCAAGACAGGTGCTCTACCACTTGTGCCATAACCCCAGCTCTCAATTTTCAGTTCTCTGGCAAAATTTTCACCTTATCTTTTAACTATTCGAACATATTAATAATAGTTATTAGTTAATATGCTAATATTAATCATAAGAAGTAACCATAGAAGCTAGGCTCCCCTCTCTGGGTTTTCCACCACCACCCCCCTTACTCCAGACCTTGGTTCTGCAATTCCTTATTGCCCTGATGGCTCTCTAACACCCCCAAACTTATTCTTTGTCCCCTTATTAATTTTAAGCAGCATTTCTCAAAAGAAGAGTTGATCTGAACAAACCTGATCTTCTATTGCCAGACTGATGCCATGTAAGCTAGGTGCACATAGTTTATCATACAAATGCAGATGCTTTTAACAATGAAAGTAGATACTATTTGTGATTATACTGGGGCAATGGACATAGACAAACTATCACAAACAAATCAGATGGTATGGCCACCCAATAACAGTGCAAGGAGACTTTGCTTAAAAATGAAATTTAAAAATCACATCGGCCATATGAAGAATAGGAGACCTCGTGTCTTCCCTTTGCTGACTTTGTATTTGATATTAACGATAGAAATGAATGCTTACTCACCATGAAGAGCCCGCTCAGCAGCTCACTGCCTCGGCAGAGGGAGTTAACTCTCACACCAGCCTGCCAGTTCCTGGGCCATACGTCTCACTTGTGTTCTTGGCTAAGACTTGGTGCCTTGGTACTGTTTTGGAAACTTTATCAAATAAGACAGAAAAAAACTTCTAAAAAAATATGTAAGAGTCGTTTCAGAACTGAGAAGAAACTGAACACAATGTCACGGCCTGTGCTCCCTTCTCTTCTTTTGTTTGGCTCTCTGCCCAAAATATATCCCCCTATTCCATAAGGAACACAACAGAGTAAGTAAAGAGATGGCTGTCTTAGTTTTTCAGACAGCTAGCACTGCCTTCTGGGTCATCTTCTAAAGTGAGCTCCTCTGGGCTGACCAGTGCCAGAGCTAAGCCCAAGGAGGTGCTCAATCAAACCAAGCAGTATTGTTGCCTAATTATAGACTCACCACATCTTGTGTTTTGCAGCCTGTCCCTTCCTGGAATTTTGATGATGCTATTCAGGATATCACTTCCTATTCTTAATCTGCATATTTTAGATGACTTGATTCAAAACAATGTTTTGGATACAGAGAGTCCAACATTTTTCCAAAACACAGGCTTTATTGGCACAGAAAGTAATTCACCACATGCATCGTGTTTACATCCTAGCAGGTGGACAACAGATCACAGCTACAAAGATGACAGTGGGTTTTCCCATCCCTAGTCCACTGATGTAGAGAAAGAAAACTCCTTAGTGAAAAGAAAACAAAATAGGTTTCCAACAATTTAACTTAGGGCCATATGTCATTGTCATTTACTAAGCAACGGAAAATAAAAACCAGGCATTGGAAACATTGAGCCTAGCAACAAAATAATGAGTTAAACTCAAGTACAGGGTAATACTGAGGCCAATAACCTAGGGTCCAGTTCAGCTGCGAGTTTTTGTGACCCTGGGGAATATTCCAGAGCTAAACTCCTCTGCTTGTTGATATGCCGAACACTGGCCTGAAGACAGGTCTGCCTTCTTATGCAAGGCCAAAAACAAACGAAAAAAAGACAAGACAGCACCTAGCCTTTTTCTTCTATGTCACACAAATAACTGGGGCCTCACCACCACTACATCAATCACCATCAATTGCAAAGGCCTTTCCCTACTCAAAGCAGCCTGTCTATACTCCCTCACTCAGTGTTCTCTAAGCCAGGGTCTTGTCTGCCCTGCTCATCTCCCTGTGGCCAGCCCCTAGTGATACCAGTACTCTGTAGACCTCAGCACACACTGGCAGAGTGATGGAGTTCTCATACCAATCTAGAGGGAACAGAAAGGGCTTGTTTCAGCACATTTTAGAAGAAACCACAGATCAAACCTCAAGAAAAGATTGAGTAAGTTGCAGGCTGTAAGGATGAATACCTAAATATTAGCAGGCATTTCCTTAGAATAAGGATATATACTCCTTCATTCTGAGGTTTTAGGGCTCTTTGTTTTGTTTTGTCTTTGTGTTTGTTTGTTTGTTTGTTTGTACTAGGGTCTCTCTATATAGACCAGGATGACCTCGAACTAGAGATCCTCCTGCCTCCCAAGTGCTGGGATGACAGGCATGCACCACCATACCTAGGTACTGCGGTTTGAACTCAGGGCCTCACACGTGGTAGGCAGAAACTCTACTGTTTGACCCACTCCACCAGCCCTTTTTTTGTGTTGGGTATTTTTTGAGATAGAGTATTGCTTTTTTGGAGAAAGGGGCCGAAAACCATGATAGTCCTGATTTCTGGCTCCCAAGAAGCTAGGATTATAGGCATGAGCCATTGGCACTTGGCAAAAGTCACACCTTTGAGGAATAAATGCTTTGGATTGTACAAACATAAAATAATTCTGGGTAATTAAATTCTAAGTTTGATGGTGCTGACTTTAAGTGGAATAGGCGCTCAGAGAAGTGAAAGGTTGGGCTGAAGTTTCATGAAGGAAGTTCACGGCAGACACTGATTGGCTGTTAATGAACCCATTTCCTCCTCTTCCTTGGACGCAACTGGACTAGTTTCTCATCAACCCTCATGACAGTCAGATGTGGCCACCTTACCAAGGGCTGCTAATGCAATCAGAGCAGGAAGGCCAATAAAAACTAGTCACTCAAGAGTCACCATGTTCTTTCTCCTTTCTGCTGGTGTGGTCCTGATAAGCCCGGGGATCCTGGGAACTGTGGGTTGAAAATGGCAGAACCCTAAAATGGAAAATGCTAAGAACATGCTTGGTGCTCTAAACATTACATGAAAGAGAGGCATCTACTAACCAGGTCACCCATTTTGGATATGTAAGAAATAAACCTGCATTGTTTTGATTCCTTGCACTATTTTGCATTTGTTGAAGCAGCTAGTGTTTACTCAAATAAGATAAATTAGGGCTTAAATTATCCCTGAATGTGGGCGGAAGGAAATGATATTTTGAAAATAACAACTGCGCTTTTTCCTTATTGCTTTCTGCATATACGATCTTTAGTAGGTCAAAGACATTTGTGTGTTTAGGGGAATGTTAATATTTTTAAAAGAGGGATACTACGAGAAAGAAGGGTGGAAGTTCCTTTTCTGGCAGAATAAATACTTGTCCAGTCCACCCACTGAAAACAACCAAAAAAAGTTAAACAAAATATTTCCTCAAAGATAATTTGAACTGCATTTGTGAGCTGACATTATACTAAGAAGAAAATACTTGTATCTGTTTTCACCTTGAAGGCATTTAACAAACTAGAAGAACTTGAGCTTCTGTTTTTACAATGTAGCAGGGCAGAAGGGACAGCAGATAAACTTAGTGACACAAACAAACCCATGGCCCACCGAGGAACAGAGTACAACAGGAGTCACTCAGCTAAAGACAGGACTCCAAATGGCTACCAAAATCACCTGTCTCACAAATCAGTGTGACATAGAAGAGGACGGGTCTTCACTAAAAACCCGTAACAATGAAACAACTATTGCATGAGTTTGGAGCTTGAATTGATTACTTGTTTGTTCCCTCAGACTTCAAGTTAAGAATTTTAAGTACTTGCTTTGCAGGTTAGGAATGATTACTGGGAACCTGGCAAAAACTAGTGCTATTTCTCGACAAACTTGCCTTCAATTCGAACCTCAAAGAATTCCCACTGATAGTCTCCAAAACAAAGTAACAGTACATTAAAACAAAGCAAAACAGACACGCACACACAAGGAAATAAAGGACCATGCACAACAATCGGCAGAACTGAACTCACCAGGACTTCAAATTTAAAACTCAGCGGACACTGAATATAAAATGTTTAAATAAATAATGGAAGGGAACAAGAATCTAAATAGTAGGGAAGATTAGACATAGTAAACTAGACAAGACTAATGAAATCGTGCAGACTATAGACATAAAGACGAAACAATATGAAAGGGAAGTTCTAACCTAAAGAACAGAAGCCGAACTTATTTGAACCAGAGGGAAAGAGTATGAAATAAGGGACAATACTCTGAGATTCTTCCAGAAGCAATGGAAGAGGCAATTCACAAACTGAGTTTCCAAAACCCCAACCAAATAAATATGAGGAGAAGAAATTCACATCAAGGTATTTTATAATAAAACTGCAGAATATCTAAGACAAACAGAATATATTAAAAACATTCATGGGGGTGGTGCTGGTGGAGTGGCTCAAGTAGTAGAGTGTCTGCCTAGCAAGCGTGAGGCCCTGAGTTCAAACCCCAGTGCCACCAAAACAAACAAAAATTCATAAAGGGCTTTTGAGGAAAGAATACATTCAGCACAAGACTTAGCAGCAGAGGCCAAAAACAATTAAACAACATTTTTTAATATCCTGAGAGAAAAATACGAGTTTTATACCCAGCAAAAATATTTTAGGCCTAACAAGACTCTATTTTAGGAACAAGAGGAAAACAGACATTTTTTAATAATAGAAAAAGTGAAAACTGAATAGAAAACTGAAAGAGTTTTCTATTAATTTACCCCCAGTTAATGAAACCTGAGAGGTAATGTGGAATTATAAGCAAAGAACAGTGAATATATGGGTGAGTCTGAACACATGGCTTAACATAATAATAAGAACAATAATGTCCAAATTCTTTGATCTTTGGGGTTAAAAAAAACAAAATAAATTAAAACACTGGGCAAAAATGGGACCTAGAATGGGGAGAAAGCATTTGGAGTTAAATAGCCTAAGTTTCTTGCATTTGTTTGGCAGGAAAGATATTAATTAGCTTTAGGCTTTGATAACTAGATATGGTAGATTTCTACAAGACCACTAAAAGAATTAGAGTGTAAAGATCTCAAACTATTACAGAAAAATACATGAAATAAGAAAATAAAAACCCTAATCAATTCAAAAGAAAAAAGAAATATGAAGGAGGCAGGGAAAATGGAAAGGTCAAAATAAGATAAAGAAATAAATTAGAATTTTTTTGCAATTATAATAAATATAAATACATTACATATTTGAGTTAAAATAAAGTTGTTTGCAGACTGCATGAAACCAATCTCCAGTTACATGTCATATATAAAAGATTCATCTTGAATATTAGGATATAAAGAGTTTGAAAAAAACAAAGGATGTAAAAACAAAAATCTACAAAAGCAAATCACAGGAAAGCTGGTTATATCCCACTGTGGTCTAATATTTTTACATCCACATCAGACAAAATGCACTTTAAAGCAAAAAGCATTGTGAGAGGTAAAGAGCACTACTTCATAAAAAGATTCCATTTCCCAGGAACACAGAAGAATTCAAAATGTCTCTATACCAAAAAATCAACAACAACAACAAAAAATTTTAGTGGGAGATTTTAATACATGTCTATCAGTAAAAAATAGATCAAACAGAATATCAATAAAGTAGAGAAGATTTAAACAATTCTGCTAACAAGTTTGCCTTGTTAGAGGGATGGCAATTGTTAGAAATAAGTAACAACAAAAAAAAAAGTAACTGGAAAAATACTTTTGGGAGGCAGAGATCAGGAGGATCAAGGTTAAAGGCCAGCCTAGAAAAGTCAGTGAGACTCTGATCTCAACAATCAAGCCTGGTCATAATGCCGCACTCCTGTAATCCCAGGCATAGGTAAGAGCATCACTGTCCAAGCTGCCCAGGGCGAAAACATAACACCCTATCTGAAAAATAACTGTAGCAAAAAGAACTGTGGGCGAGGCACAAGTGGTAGAGCACCTGCCTATTAAGGATGAGTTCAAATCCCAGTGCTACCAAAATTTTTTTTAAAATAAGTATTTTAGAAAAGACTAATAATGATAACAAAATTCTGATGATGTTGATCAAGAAAAATAAGCAAGTATATAAATGATATTAAGAATGGAAAGCTAATTGCGATGGGACAACAATTAATAAAAAAATAGACTTTTATAAACAATTGTTGTGCCCCCACATGTTAAAACCAAGATGAAATAAACAAATTCTTAAAAGTACATAAATTGATAAAATAGATTCAAGAAGAGAGAGAATACCAAAACAGTCTTGTTATAAAAGAAATTGAATTAGGATCAAATATTCCTTTTTAAAAAGTTATAGTTAAACAAACTACTATCCAACACTTCGAAGACTACATAATTCTAACCTTATACAAACTATTCCAAAAAATAGAAAAAGAGGACTCTTTAACTTATTTTAGAGGGTTAGAAAAACATTGATACTAAAACTTGACCAGAAAGGAGACAAATAGGACTTCTCACCCATGAACAGAGATGTAAAAAAAAAAAAAAAAAGATCCTAGAATTATTGTCCAAGCAAATTTGCCAAAAGATGACATACAAAAGCTGACTGATTCAGGAAATGTAAGGTTAGCTTAACATTTTAAAAATAGTTGGTATGATTTAACATAGTAAAGGAGAAAATCATGTAAGTAGCTCAATGAATGCAGAAAAATAATTTTACATAATTTGTCACCCACTCAAGATTTAGGAAATAACACAGAGAAAATGAGAGATGAACTAATTGAACCTGACTCAGAACTTCTACAAAACACCTTGGCAGCACCATCCTTTCGGATGGGAAAGTGAGAAGGTCCCTGTGAGGTTGTGAGCAAGAAGCTGGGTCCAGCCATCGCAGCTTCTCTTCAGGACAGCAGCAGGGGGTCCAGGGCAATAATGAAGGCAAAAGCACTCACAGTACAAATGCATCATTTGCATGTGATAATGTCGATTACATTAAAAATCCTAATGAATTTACAATAACATGATACCATTCATAAGCATAAAGTTTCTGTACACAATACTAATAGGCAAAATCAATTTCATTTGGTGACATCTGCCTAAACCTTGACACAGCAATTCGTCCTTAGGTAACAGGAGACCCGTGGTGCTGAGGTCTGTGGTTCCAAGGAGACTTCCATGGG